CTTAGTTATCTCCAAAACAGGTCTAGAGTAACCGTGCAGCTTTCTTCACCCTGCAACAGCAGCTGGCGTGACCCACGGGACAATGGGGGGAGAACACTCACTATGGTCCATCTGTTCCTTGGTTCCTCTGCTGAGGCGACCAACAAGAGGACTGACTAGAGTCGGTTGTGAAGTGGCTTGAACCCAGCCATTCCATTTCATGCAGACCACCACCCTGCACTCTCACGAAGGCGATGGCTCCTCCAGGAAAGGAGCCAATGATTATTTCACTCTAAACCACAAATCATGCCACACTTGACCAAAAGGCCTTCACACAGAAGCAGCTTTTGGTTGTTAAGTACCTGATCTGAATGTGACTCTTTGACCTGGAGACTCAAATCCCAGAAACCCATTACAAGTCCCTCATGCCTTTCATACCACAACGTTGGTCCAGTCTTCTCCAGCAAGGAAAGCCCCACCGTTCTCACAGGCATGGTTACGCTAGCCCTGTAGTGGCCCTTGTGAAAGATGGTGCTGTTGCCACTGCTCTGCTGGCTACCTCCAAGGGTCTTGCTGCTTCTCTGGACCAGTACGGGGGTTGGCCTTGAACCCCAGCCCAGGAAGGACTAACACCTCACCCATAGTATGTTCAGGCCCTTTAAGCTCTCTCAGTCTTACAGGAATTATCCAACCCCTTCCCAGATGGGTCTGATAGTCAAACAGGGCCTGGCCCCCTGGCTCCTAGAGGGACAGACTATCCAGTTACAATCAAGAACAGCAGGTTCTGCTACAAAAATCAGATGAGCATTTCAATCCCCGCAGAGTGAGCAGATCCTGGGCTTTGGCCCAGCTCCATCTCTGTTGCTGAGTAAGACTATATAAATCACCTATTTACAACATGTCCTTGGCCAGCACGTGGAAGCAGACGCTGAGGAGGAGGAAGACATCCTTTGCGGTTATTGGCTGGCAGCAGCATTCTGCGTGTGCAGCCTGGGGAAGGATAGCTCTGCTCAGCCCTCGAAACAGGGATTCAGCAGCAACGCTGGCCCACACGCTCTCCCTTCCAAAGCGCCCGAGATGTTCTGTAGCCTAGAGCCACCAGAACTGGCGCCAGCTGCTGACTCATGTGTTTGGCGAATGTTACAGCTGCAGGATCCTGTAACAATCAACATCCTCTGCATTGCTACAGCATCCCCTGTCCCAGGCTCGCAAAGCGCTTTACCTAGGTGGACGGGTTAGAGGAGAAAGAGCTGGCTAGCGAGCATGCCAAGTCAGTGGCCTCAGGATTAGAGCCCTTGTCTCCCAACTTTACTCCTGTGCTCTAACCACTAGTCCACACAACCTTCCTTGGTTACGTCTGTTCTGCCAAGAGCTAAAACTACCTGCTATGAATAGTACACTACATAAGTGTCAAAGGCCATGACTTTCCTCTGCTGTAAATCGGTGATTAATAGACATGTAGGTTCAAATCCTCAAAGGTATATAGGCACTTAACAGCCATTGAAATCAATACCTTTGAAGATCTAGGCCTTTATTTTAACATTTGCAGGAGAGGCAGTGGGGAGAGCATCCTCTCTAGCTGTTGTGTAGTTCACGGGGGGCGAGGGGGCTGTGGCTGTCCCTCCGTCCATCTGGGAGGGAGGCCACACCCCCTCAGTACAGTAATAAGTATTAAATAAGCACACCGTGTGTACCGTAGTGACAGCTCCTGTTCTGCGGGACTGACCGAGTGGGTCTCCTCTGTCTGGGCATTGCCACCACCAGGGTCGCAGCGCTGCTCAAGTTTGTCTCATAACAGGGGACCCAGCCAGATCAAGTTTGTGCGAGTGGCACTGCAACCTGATGCATGGAGTTGCAGTGTCACTTACACAAAATTGGCCCCACCAGGCCCCCAATCATCCAGACAGAGGGGCGGCTGGGCCAGACATGAGTGGCGCTGTGATCCCATGCACCAGGACACAGCACCTGGAGCAGGGAGACAAGCCCAGCCAGTGTTGTGGGAACAGAAATGTCATTGTGGGGTGAATTGCGGGGGAGGATCTGCAACCCCATGCCTTCCACAGAACCCTTTGATACATGCAGGTGATCCAGTTTTGGGTTGTGACTCACTGGTTGAGAAACCTGAGGCGAGAGGGCTCTGTAGGGAAGCCTGTGATCACAGTCAGTCAACAGCCAACAGCCAGTGGGGTGAGCTTTGTCTCACTGTTTCAGGGAGCAGCCTCCTTTGTGTCTCTCTGTTTTCTGGTGTTATCATTCTAAAGTCTCTGAAATAAAGCAGTGTTAATTTGCAATCCTCCAGCAAGAGGGGCAGAAAGGCAGTTCTCGCACTGTCCAGTGTGTTTATCTAATTTCTCTGTGTGTATGCTGTGGTTCCCAAGAAGCTGGTGCAGGTGCTGGTACTGGCAGTTGAAGCTGTTATAACAGCTCCTTTACGCTCCCCTTGCTGAAGTGGGTGCCGCTTAAAAAAGTCATTGCATCCGGGCCATAGCAAAGGATGTCTAGATTGGACCCCAGCTCACTGTTACTACTTTCCTTCCCTTAAATTGTGCACACTTCTGCCTGGTCTCCTCTACACGCTAGTGTGCACTCTGGTATGATCACTTTGAACATGGAAGCCCAGCCAAATAAAAAGTGCTGCTAAGAGAGCAGGCTAAACACAAAGCATCCCATTCCCTAGAAGGACCTTTCTTAGCAACTGATTCCTTCAAACTCTCCTCATTGCAGGACTCCCTCTTTATAAGACCTTTTTTCCCAGCATGCCTCTCTGGGGGTTGGCCCTTAAAATTGGTCAGAGCAAAGCAGCTGTAATCCTAAAGTGGCCATTTTGTAGCTAGTAGATGCTGGCTGACATCTTTCTCTTCCAGCTGGCAAGGGCCTGTTCCAGCCCTCACCTGTGTTTCCCTTTCTAGTTGCAGAGGAGAAGGTTGTGTTCTCACATTAAGTGGCCTAGAGGTTGTTACAAACCCTGAGTTTCCTCTGAGGTTAGAGGTTCAGTTAACATGATTCTTTGTTGTGTTTTATTTCCCGTGCCTCTGTACCTCCGGCTTTCGGGCAGAAGCTGATGGGCTTAAAAGCCACCAGAAAGGCAGTTCTCGCACTGTCCAGCCTGACTGGATGAAACGCTGAGAAAGGAACAGACTTTCAAGAGATTTCCGGTGCTGCGGACCTAGGTGCTGTGTGAGTCAGGGCAGCAAAGCCAAGCTTGCCTGAACTGTGATCCTTCTGAAGACTGCCCATCCCTCGTAGTCCACCTAGGGTCAGAGCATTTGCTAAGAGGGTTGGTCTATGAAAACACAAGTTTTGGTACTTTATACAGAGCCCAGTGCTGACTCATACTTGTACACGCAAAATTCCCAGGGAGACCAAACAGGGAGTTGCACTGAATTGCCCATTTGGCCTATCCACAGTAAGCCCCAAACTTCCAATCTCATTGGGTTAAATTCTGTCCTCAGTTACACCTGTGTAAATCCAGGATAGCTCCCTTGCACTCAATACTGCAGATTTACACCGGGCCTCCAGCTTCTAGCCCTAAGTGCTTGCAGGTGCCTGATCCAGCACAGTACCAGAGAGATGCAGAGCACTGCCAACTCTCACAGCAGCCAGGGAGTTGAAGGGATGCTCAGCACCACTCAAGTGGCAAAGGGTCTCCTGTAGGATTGGGCCCAAGCTGAGTAAACCTGTGCACTCGGGGCCAGATTCGCAAGGTACTTGGGCACCGCTCTACTGCGCTCAGCATTGCAACACCTCCATCCTAGGGGAATTCTGAGTGCCAAATTAGGTGCCCAGCCTCCCCACACAATGTGTGGGGAGCGTTAGTGCTGAAGAAAGGAATTCTCAAGAGCCAGCAAGCTGAATGGGGCGCTGCGCCTAAACCCCATTGACCTGGGCCTGGGGCACCTGGCCAACAGTCCCGTGACAGGCACTTCTCTCTGGTGGGGATTCTCAGCCACAAACCCTTTCCTGGAGTTAGGCGCCACAGCCAGCTCAGCCCTTGCCAGTGATAAACCAGGGACCAAGACCCTGCAGTAGACAACAGCCTAGTGAGTAGGGCTCTCCCCTGGGATATAGGAGACCCAGGCTCACATCCCGGTTCTGTCTGATTTGGAGCAGGGACTGGAATCCTGGTCTGCCACATCCCAGGGGAGTGCCCTAAGCGCAGGATTATGGGGTATCCTGGGTTGGGAGTCTCTCTAGCTCCCTTGTTGGAGCTGTTCCACTTTGTAGAAATAATTAAATCTCCATCCCAGCAGGTAGGGTGTCCATGTGGCAGACCTGGGTTCAAGTCTTTGCTCCAGAGCAGGGATTCAAGCCTGGGTCTCTCACATCCCAGATGAGTGCCTGGGCCATGCCTCTGACTGTCTTTTTGGACAGGTTCTTTGTTGCTCTGTCACCTCTCCATGGCCGACAGCTGGCCCTCCTGCTGCAGTGTCTGACAGGTATCAGGTCTGAGGTGTGTTCAGAGCACAACCTGGGTTCTGCTGAGGCTCCCCCATGTAGCTTGAAAATCTCGCCTTGGGGCAGCCGGGTTTTGGCTTGTGCTAGGGCTCTGATAAGCTCATTAGCTGTGGGGAGATGCCAAGAGGGCACGCGCAGCATTCAGGATCCAAGATATTACTGTCGCCCAGAGAAAGAGGATGCTTCACGCAGTGCTTTTAGCACATAAATTTACTCTTCGTAAGTGCTACTTAGCAGTGCAGAGTACTGCAGGGCGGGCGTGCGCCTTGCCAGCAAAATAGCTACATCCCTTTCCCTGCAGCAGAGGGACCTTCTACACTGGGGGCCTGCAGGGAGAAGGAAAGGGGGAGGCAGGACTATGCTAATAGCAGCAGCGTGCAGGATGCATCTCAGTTAGCAGGACAGATTAGATTCCCCTCCAATTAACGGTTTTTCACTGTTACATCATCTCTTTGTCCTTCCCCTGTAATTGCTGATTCCCGGCTTTTCCCTTTTCAGCAGGAGGGGAGGCAGCTTTAAAAAATGACCGCGTGCCTCTGAGCTAAGAGGGAATGATGGCATTCCACGGCGCCCAACCTGAAAATCTACCAATGTAGGAAGAGGGATTTTTTTCTTCCCTGCAATAATTGCCTTGCTTCCAGCGAAGCCGGTGTGTGTCTCGCTCTGAAATACAGCTCTGATTCAGCCTGTGTGCTTTCTGAATGCATTACTCAGTAAGCAACCCAGCATGCCACTTCCCTGTGGACCAGTGCACTTATTATTTCTCCTAATGTGCAACCTTATCAGAGCTGCGAGCTATACACTGCCGTGGTCTTTGTGCCCTTTTCTCTCTGGCTCAAGCAGGTTCAACTCTTGATCTGATTCTTGTCAAATCGAAGCTTCTGTTCAGCGCAGCCAGAGAAAAATACAGCAAGGGACTCTGCTTGGACTCCCTAGTAGAGACGTATTAATAACACTGATGCATGGCCAATTAGGAGAAGGAGCCAGGTCCAGCCCTTGTGTCTCTGGCTCTAGTGATTTATCGACAGTAATTACTGAGGCACTTAATGGCTAGTTTGGATGGGAATTAATTCTGGGCTGGATAAATAATGCATTAAGGTTTATTTAGCCAAATGCAAGGCATCGCTCCTGAGCCCGTACTAGGAGTGCAGGGAAGTGGATCTTCAGCGCAGAGCAGGCTGGGGAGAGGCTGCTACCGGCAGGACAGGCTGTGCCGTGATGAGCTGCAACAGGGTGAGGAAGCTGGGAAGGAGGATGACAGCATGCTGAAGGCTGCGAGAAAGGTGACGCTGGAACCAGGAATATGTTGAGTCCCAAGATAAGGCAGGCCAGGAGAGGTGAGTACAGGATCTCTTCTATATCTTGGGATTTACTCTCTGGAAAATACACCCGGGTGTGGGTGTGGGTGGTGGGGGGGGGAGGGGGTGTTGTTCCAAATCAGCACAAGAAGGAAACTTTTTATTACTCTTCATGGTGACACATCAACTGACTCTTTGAATTTTGCCCCGTAAGATGGCTCATATTCTGAACGCTGTTGCACTTTAATTACTGTAGCATCCTCAATAACGTGCATCATTTTTTCAAGATACTCTGCAAAGCAAGGCTGAAGCTAGACAAATTCAAACTGGAAATAAGGTGTAAATTTTTAACGGTGAGAGTAATTAACCCTTGGAACAATTTACCAAGGATGATGGTGGACTCTCCATCACTGGCAATTTCAAAATCAAGACTGGATGTTTTTCTAAAAGATCTGCTCTATGAATTATTGTGGGGAAGTTCTCTGGCCTGTGTTATACAAGGGATCAGACTAGATGATCACACATGGTCCCTTCTGGCCTTGGAATCTATGAATCTTTGAAAGCAATGTCAGCTGAGTTGCTGCTGTGTTGCTTAGTGTGCCATCCCACAATTATGCTCCGTTGCCAATTTAAACTACATTAAACTAGCTGAATAAGTTAGTTATTCTTGCAACTGCACTTAGTTAAATGAGTTATTTCTTTTCTGCCTGCAACTTATGAGCAGGGGAGTTGGTCTTTTGATCACTAGGGTTGTGTGCCGTTTCAGCTCAGAATTAGAGCTGCATCACTTGTACATAACTTCTAATCTGTCCAGAGTCTAAGAAAGGGTATGTGTATTTAGGTGTACATATTTCATTACATTGTTTCTCTGGAACCATTCTAGTGCAGAACATGCCATGGAATCTTTACACTTAAGATCAGACAGACAATTGTGGTACAGTAGCCTCGCCCAAAGCATCCTGAAGACATAGTTGTTAGCAAGTATCTTAGCACCTTATCCCTCCAGCTCAGCAAGCAGAAAGGGGAAAGTCACTCAGTGATTGTTGCTGAAGAAGACAAAGGAGGGAAAACTTGTCCTGTTTCTGAAACAGCTCAGAATGCAGAAGCTCAGATTTGCAAACTACACAAGTACGGGAGAAGAGGCAGCATGTTACAGAACTGTTGTCCTCTGGCCATGGCTTGTGTCTACGCTCCCTCCCTTATGATGGCTATCTTCTAGCAGAGGGGAGGCATTGTGTGATCTCGTGCTGCAGTAGCAGCTCTGAGCTTGACATCACATTTGCAGACTGTGCTGAGCATCCTTGCCATTCACAGCCTCATAGCAATCTCAGAGGCATCAGAAATAGAGACTAGATCAGTATTGTTTAGACTTGAAGCAGTGTGCAGTCAGGAAGTGTGGAAGAAAGCCTAAGGTTTAGAGGCTCTGTCTACACTTCAAACGCTACAGTGGCACAACTGTAGTGCTTCAGTGTAAACATTCACTACAGCGATGGGCTGGGGGGAGGTTATCCCTTTGCTATAGTTAATCCACCTCCCCAGGAGGCCGTAGCTAGGTCGATGGAAGACTTCTTCTGTTGATCTAGCACTGTCTACACTGGAGGACAGGTCTGCATAACTACGTCTCACAGGGATGTGGACGTAGGTTTTCAGGGTAGACCAGCCCAGAGCTTTCTTCAGGCACACCGGCTTTGTAAAATAGGAAATTGCCAGCTGTGTACAAAGAAAGGATAATATTGTGATGGCTTAATAGTTACCTGCGGTAATTCAGAGAGGAGCGCTTCTAAGTGAATGATACTGGGCTCATACAGTAAAATACATGTAGCACAGTACAGTGTACATACAGTCCTTAAAACACCCAGAGTCCATTGAACAACACAGAGTTCCTTAAAATAAAGAGCCTGACTGCAATTTGGAGCTCTGGGAATACATGTGTACCATCCCTCCATAGTAAATATATATGCATTTGATTTTTCGTTAGACAGGGTTTTTTTGTATGCATTGGGAGATGTTTGCATTCCAATCAGTGCTGCCTATCTACCAGGGTACATGGTCCCCATTACTGTAGTATCTGAGCACCTCACACTCCTTACTGTATTTATCCTCACACCACTCCCCCACCCCTGTGAGACAGGGCACTGCTATGAGCTCTCCTTTACTGCTAGGGAGGCTAAGTGACTTGCCCAAGGTCGTACAGGAAGTCTGTGGCAGAGCAGGGAAGGGCCCGCCCCCACACATGCCCCAGTTCGAGGCTAGCACGTAACCTTTCTTTCAGCTCATCTTGAAAATAAGTTATATTAGCACTCTAACAGGAGTGTAGTTAGGAGTGAGTATTGCACACGATCCCTACATGTGATAGATGCACGGATTATGCTGTAGTTCTATGGCTCGGGTGCCCTGGAATTGGTGAACTATAAGCTACCTTGGCTCTCTTAGTATTTGTTTTTCATAGTAAGAGCTGTGCTCTGATAGGGTTCTTCTTTTAAGTCAACTGCAGACTTCTGAAAGGGGCTGGCTTGCTGGCTCTGGAAACGAAGGGTCCTCTGTCTATCCACAGAGCTGGGACAGTGCGCGCTTGCAGGAGGGCAGTCTTTCCACACACGCAGTTCCTCCTCAGTATGCTGCTACCCTTGGCCAAATGGCCTGCTTGCAGGAGGGCCCAGTCTTGCAAGGTGCCAAAGTGCCCTCTGCTCCTTCTGACCTACCCAGGAGTGAAAAAACTGAGTGCCTCCCAAGAGGTGATGAACCCCTTGTAGCATTGGGCCAAGAGGGAAATGGTAGGTCAGTCCCATTGGCCTCTCTGGAGATTGCTAACAAGGGTCCATGCGGTATCGGTGGTGCAACAGGCATCAAGATCTATGATCCAGCAAAGGGCTGCCAGGATCTCCTACTAGCAGGGTGGGACAACAGGAGCTTGAACCCTGCAGCCAGCTGCTGAGTAAGCTCTGCTGACTCGCAGTGGCAGGTGCAGTGTTCGCTTCACCAGGACCTAGGAAGAATGATGGGTGTAACATCTGGCTAGAGAAAACTAGAAGAGACAGGGCAGGCTTGCAGGAAGCGCTGGGAACAGCCAGCGCTAAGGACAAAGCATAGGTGGGGCTTATATTCCGTTGCCACTGGAGTCAGTAATACAGCCAAACCCTGGGAAGGGGGGTAAACTTGACTTTAATGCAGCAAGTGTAGGAGTTATTGGGAATGGCACCTGTACACAGGTGGATTTTGTCTCATGGACCCCTGTTGACTAGACATGGGCTAGCCCGTACCCAACATATTTCATAGCTCACCCAGGAGCCAGCAGACAGACCCTAAATCTAACATGGTTCAATGCTGTAGAACACATTCCCATGAAGACTGCTGTTGATTTGCCCAGCAGATTTTTAACATATGCTCTGGGCATTATCAGGCCACAGACTGTATCGATAACTTTAAAGGGGGAGGTCCAGATCTGCCTAAAACAAAAGGCCTATTGATGTTGGACCCAATCCTGACATATACTTAGCTGGGGAGACCGCCTACTGAAATCGGCTTCCTTCTCTTGGCTTCCCCTCCTGACCTCTCGCACAGTTCCCTCGGTGTTGATGCAAGAGCCTTCTCTGTATCTCCTTGCTGTCCGAATTGGCCTTCTTGTACCTCTAAGCTTTAGCAGCTCTCCACATGTTTTCAAATCTCCTTTGAAAGCCTATTCTAACCCCCTGCTTATGACTGGGTCTCCCACTGCTAGGGTTGTTAAGCTTTAAATTAACTCTGTAATCTTATTACTTAGTCTAGAATATTTCGAGATACAGTTTGAGTTCGGGGTGGTCCAAACTCCGGGGGGGGGAGGGAGAGAAAGAGAGAGGGGTTCCAAATCTGGACCTGGATCTGGCATCTTGAGTCCAGTTCTTGTTTTCTGTGAAAGATGGTACAGGCAACAAAAGCTACATTGTATTGCTAGAGTGTATTGCCAAAGTTATGTGGTCATTGTGAAACTGTTCTAGAGTGGCTCACCACTGTGAGTGCCAACTTCAGGGCAGACTGTCGCAAACCAAGGCACAAACCCCAAACTGGTTTATAAGTAGATTTCAAGTGTGAACTTCTAAAGCACTATAACAGCCTTACCCTGGAGTCGCAGACAGTCTCCTTGGGCACTTCATCTATCTTGCCAGCCAGGCGAGCCTGCCATTGTGGTAGATGGTCCCTTACACCAAAAATCACAATATTCAGGTTATTCCCAGTCCCAAAGGACCGGTCACTTACCCCAGGTCAAGTGCACCCTATATCTCTTACCAAAGACAACACTTGTAGCCAGTCCTGTAATAAACTAACTAAAGATTTATTAAGAAACTAAGACAAAGACAAGGGTTATTTACAAGGTTAAAGCAGGTGAACATACACACACAAATGAGTTAGTCCTAAGTTCCAAAAGTTGACAGTAGCTGCAATATATGCAAGTTCTATATGTCCCTTAGGGCTAACCCAAGCCGAGCAGCTTGGGGATCCCTTGCTTATGCTTTGAAATTTTACCCTCTCCAAATTCTAAGCAGCAATGTGATAAAGTATCTTCTCATCAGGCATTTTTATTCCCTTCCCCCAGAGTTCAAGCAGATGGAACAAGCATGGTGCCCATTGCCTCTACATGGGCATGTGTGTGTGGGGGGATCAACAAAGTCTTTGTCCTTTGATCTTTCACAATGGCTCATTTGGTTTCAATGGGCCTTCTTGTCTGCAGGACCAGTACTTTACATGCAATTAATGCCTCTTTCCTATTTGGGGAACAGTGACAGAGACTTACAATGCCAAACCCTCAATATAACTTTATACCATGGGCTACAGCTGTGATCAGTGAGATCAATGCATGCAGCATCCTTGAAGCATTTCATCAAGTCTAAACACATTCTTATCAACTTAACATCTATTTTAACAATGCCAACACACAGGTTAGCCAGACTGGTTTCCAGTTCTGCATTTGTCAGCATTCAGTGAGGCCTAGGGACCTTGGCATGAGCTGGCATCTGGTCTGCCAGCATCACAGTCATTACCATTACACCCACTAAATCAAGTCT